GAGAGAATGGGAGCGAGAGAGTGCGAACGAGAGAGCGAGAGGAAGAAAACAATGATTTTGTACGTTGGACGATTTGTAATTTATTGCAAGGACTATTTCTTCTCAACGTGTTGTCAGTATAATGTTTGCAACAAACGTGTTTGATGTTCCTTTAAAAAAAAAAAAAAAGTGCACGCGAATAAGTATAAGTTTTAAACAAAGCAAAAAAAAAAAGTCGAAGCCTTTTTTAGGAATTTGTTTTTTAAGGAGAATGAGTGAGATAATCTCGAGATTCCAATCCCGAGTTATTATTATTATTACTATTATTATTATCATTAAACATTATTAACATGTCTTACGGACGTCTTTAATAAGAATTATACGACAATGATGTTCGATATATTTGAAAATAATAAGTGTACAATAATGCACGAGTATTTAAACGATTCGACGTCAGTTTTAGACATGTATCAATAATTCTACTATGGCAAAAAAAAAAAGAAAAAAAAATTCAACGAAATCAGAAGAAAGCGATGTAACACCTTAACGTATTCATGCCCTTTCCTCCTTGTAACCAATTTAAAGAAAAAAAAAAAAGAGAAAAAAAGGAAAAATCGAAAAAAAAATCATTGTACTCGTTTATCGAAATAATATACATACAGTATGCCTGGTACTACGTGCAAGCATTCTACGAATTATACTTTGAGTGGAAAACCAATTTGGGATGCGCTATAAATGATCGCGATCCACGAAGTAATGAGTGATGAAAATTCAATTAAGATTGACTAATATAATACTCTTTATAGTTATTGATCAAATATTAGTACGAAATATTATCACATTATACCCACCGCAATAAGAAAAATACCAAAGTCAATGGATTATTATACTCCCCTTCCCCCATTTTTCCGATTGTATCATATTTATTGAACAAACAAAAGGCTACGATTTGGATTTTTTTAACAATCATTCGTTTTATATATATATATGTATACATATATATATATATATATGAATGTTTATATGTATATGTATGTACATATATATGTATATATATGTATGTATATATATAGTTCTCGCACAGTGAGAGTTGCGCTTTTATAATCGTTTTCTTTTCTGTAATTGTTCTCACGTTGAATTGTTATTAGCTCCATGAGAATTCAATGTAATTTAACGTGTAATTTAATATTGTTACGTATTTATGTCGATTCTCTCCATCGTACAGATACGGAAGCCTAATTTGAACTATTTTCCCGTGGTTATTGATATTAACTTCAATAAAGAAACTTGCAGGCTGTATTGACCTTTTCTACAACAAAACCTGATCATATTCCCAAGTTTAAATTTGTGTCGATTTTGTACGTGTTGGTGGTAAGTAAATCTGTAGTTTCTTATTTCTTTCATTAGAGTAGAAATTTTAGATTTATAATTATAATATAAATAACGTTGAATTACAATTACATTTATTAAAACAAAATTTGTGTGACACTATGAAATAAACTCGATGTGTCCATATAATTTCAATGACGATGAAATAAATAAACAAATAATATGATCGATATTCTTTTTAGTCGTATTAAAAAGCATAGTTTTTTCATTACGGTTAATATACGATTGTGAATATACGTTTATTACGTTTATAAAGCGTTATTTTTCAAATTATTGTTTTCATCAATAAGACCAATGATCATTGAAGACTGACGTGAGATAAAAATATTTATAAAATGAAATAATGAAATATAGAAATACAGAAACAAAAGCTGGTTTTCGGCAGATCTTTTACAAATTTGCAAATTGAATACGATAGCTTAAATGAATGTTCGTATGAATTTTTCGTCACTAAATGCGAAATACTATATTTCGGAATAAACGCGCGAAATTCAAATCGTAGTTTTATGCCTAATTCGAATATATAGATAAACACAACTGATAAATCAGCTGATGTCAGCTGTTGTTCATTGGTATATACATATATATATTGGCACCTGTAACGGTAAAACGGTAGAAATACCATTATGTTCCATACTTATGTATGTTTATTAATTTTGAAACAATTCCTTGGCAAATCGTGTTTTGAGTATTAATATTTACATTGATGTACTTTTGTCAAATTCAATTGTTTCGTTTTTGATATTGTGGATGCCTCGGTTTTCGAAAGAAAAATGTGGTCAGTTTCTGATAATTACCACAGCTTATTATATTGTTTGCAAATTGAGAAATCGAGGGAGCCATTGAAAATACAATGTTAATCGTTATGTTTCACACTTTGAAAATAACGTATTGACTGGTCAAATGAATACCATCTTTAACCAGATCCTATGAATAAATTTGTTTGTGTCACTTAAAATTTATTCCAGTTCGATAATTTCAATGGTAGTAAATAAAGATTTTCAGACATGGAAATTGATGAAATAACGAAAGAAATTTTTGGACCAGATGTGTTCTTAGAATCTACTGATGAAAGATCTAGCAAGAAAAGTAAACAATCTTCAAGGTATTTTTATTACTTGACCTTTTATTTCTGCACTAATCTAACGACGCATATTAATTGTTTAAATATATTAATATTTTAGGGTAGCTCATACTTTAGAATCAATAAATAAGTACATTGACCATGCTCTTTCAAAAGATGCGCCAGAAATAAATGTGAAAGATGATAGAATTGGCAGAATTGGACAAAATATTGTCAAATTTGATGTAACATCACGAACAGGATATTTTTCAATCTCTTTTGATAAACTCAGTATTAATAGCCGAAGTAATTTTAGCACAATAAGAGCAAATACAGCTGTATATCAAGGAAAGTGGATGTATGAAATTCAACTTGGATCCAAAGGTCTTATGCAAATTGGTTGGAGTACAATTTACTGTAAATTTAATATAGAATCCGGAGTTGGTGCGTTGGTATTTCTGATAATATATTTTAAGAATTTAATTCTATTTGATAAAACGTGGTTTTATTAGGGGATACTTTTCATTCATATGCTTATGATGGAGACCGCATTAGAAAATGGAATATATCTTCATGTACATATGGAGAAGCATGGCAAACAGGAGATATTATTGGATGTGCATTAGATTTAGATAATGGAAATGTTAATTTTTATAGAAATGGCAAACATCTTGGACAAGCTTTTGAGAATATATCAAGGGGCGCTGGTTTTGCATACTTTCCAACAGTAAGCCTTGCATTAACAGAAGTTTTAAGAGCCAATTTTGGATCTACACCAATGCGCTATCCTTTAGAAGGATATGAACCATTACAAGCAATTCCAAAACGAAAAATACATGAAGGTGTACTTTTGTTCAAATGGTTTTTAAAAATAGTAGAACAGATAAATGCAAGACAAAATGTGAACGATGAGAATATAAGCAAAGAAAAGCTAAATGATGATAGTATGAAAGTACAGACCTATTTAATGTGTCTTTCAAATTGTATTATAAAACGTATAGGATCTTTAATTTCAATACCGTATATTACAGAATATATTGTAATTCCTTTCATACAACATCTTTCTGAATCACAAACTTCTTCATTGTTAACTTGTTTAGATCTGTTATGGATATTTCTTGAAGAGTATGAACTCAAAATATGTTTAGAAAATATCGTTGTTTTTTTACTGTCTACAGTCAGACATGTATCTTATTTAATTGAATATTTTAATCAATATAAAAGCTTGCTTCTTCTAACAAAAATTTGTCAACATACATCAACGCGTCAGTATTTATTACAACATGTATTCTTTGATCAAATAAGATTTCCAAATTTCATGATTATTAAACCACCAGACAAGAAAGGACTGATTGAAATAATTAGTGATGTATGGTGGGAAACAAATCCTGTAGATTTAACGGTTGAAGCTAATAAAGAAAATTATTTTGAAGCATGTCAACAAATTAAAATTATAACTTCCGGTACAATAAATTTCAAGTATTTTATTGTCTAATTTTTTATATTTTTGTACTTATAATCTATATTTTATAGAACTAGAAGCATTACAAGTACAATTTTTAATAACTATTCTTGATAATTCTGATGGTGATGAAACAAAACCAACTTCAAGAACTTTATTTTTAAAAAAATTTAAGCATTATATTCCTGCAGTGAACAATGTAAGTAGAGGACTTTTGAATTTCCAATAATTACACTATTTTGTGTAGCATTTTGTTTTTGGTCAGTATTTCTACAGATGATAATCAATAATTTCAGAATCCTGCACCGATTTCTCTTTGTTTTATTTATCGACTTCTGGTTGCATTAAAAACTTTATGGGATGCCGAGGTTAAAACATCACCTGTTTATGTGCCTTGCAGGTAAGTTTTATGTAATACATCTTTAACATCTAATAACATCTTTTTATATATTGAAATGAGCAGGATATTTTATGATGGATCGATCGATTACTCCAGAGTCGAAAGACTGGGTGGATTAGCGTCTCATTTGAATAAAATGTATAAAGAGGAACTAACACAATTGTTAGGGCATGAAGCTATGATGGAAACAGATAATTCACATAGAATGGCACTCGTTCGAGTGATTAACTTGAATTCAGGTCAAGGAAGATCGATGATGCTTAATGCAATACCATTACCCAACAACACTGTAGATTCAGCTACATCTTTACTTCAATTATTTGATGGCATTATCTCATTTTACGATATAGTAGTAAAGAAGTCATTGGCGAAAGCGGCCCAATTTAGAAATAACATGTTAGAATATATTTCTGTTAGTCAAGATTTAAAGAGACAACTAGAAGAAATTAAAAGAAAGGGGAACTCTCCATCAATTGAACAAGAATTACTGAGATTAATCAATATTTTCAATGCTAAGTTGAAAGATCAAGGAAGATATATGGCATGGATTCGTGCTACTATTTATTCAGAAGAGAAACAATTACAATTGGCATGGCTTCTAAAAGTGGTCACGTTAACTTTGACGAATGCCAGCTTAGAAGGAAACATGTTTAGTTTTGTTCCAGAATTTTATTTGCAGACATTAGCTGAGTTGTGCGTCAGTTTGCGAAATTACATACATCCAACGACACGTATTGATAAAATTCCAGATTATCAACAAATATTTTTGAACATAGCTACATTTCTTTGCTATCATTTCATGGATTCCCGAATAGTAAACGTAGAGTCTAAGAACACGTTACTTTTAATGTTAGCTGGATTCGTATTTAATCCATTTACATTAGAAGCTATGGAAAATGTGCCGGAAGAAGGTCGAGTAAAGCTTATCACAAACTTAGTGAAATCATATGGAAACAGAGTATGGGCCGAGTCAAATTGGATTTTAGTCAGATTTTGGCAAGGTAATGGCTTTGCCTTTCGATATGAGAGAAGCCCACACCTTCTGAAAAAAATTGGACTAAAATTACTTCAACAAGAAACAATTTCTCAACCTAGAAGTACGTAATTTTTGTTTTCAATAAATGCCTTAAAAATTGGATGATCAGCAAGCTTATTGCTTTCCGTTCTTTAGAACCATGTCCATCCATTATATACCAAGGCCATTTAAGGGATACATTGAACAATCGTCAAGATACAACAACGTTCTTAAATTATTTAATGAATCTACTGAACTGGAGTTTCTCTGAGTTTATTGGAATGGTTCAAGAAATTTATAATATTTCATCAAGGCCAGAAAAATTTCGCATGGAACCTAAACAGTTAAAAGTTTGCGTCACATGTTTCGATTTAACGATTTCGCTGTTGAGAGTTTTGGAAATGACCATTACGTTGGTTCCTAATATCTTCGATAATTCACCACAGTGTTTCAGAGAAAATCTGTTGTTTAGATTGTGCCAAGTACATGTTGTTAATATTTTCATATTTTATTTAATATACAATTATCATTACATTTCTTTCTTTTTTTTTTTTTAGTTACTTTGTCAAGTTTTAAATAGAATCAGCTCATATACTAGTTGTTTTCTACATGTTATATTATTGGAAATACCAGATTTAGATTCAGTGGATCACTTTCCAATACTAGCTGCAGTTACAGGTGTTTTGTTGGCATTACTCAATGAAGATATAATCAATTATAAACGTAAGTATTTTTAATTATGGCATGAAGATGTGATCGGATTTCAATATAAGAAAAATATGAATTTTATTAGTAAAAACAGCGACAGAAGTACCAAAGATTACTCAAACCTTATTATTAGAATCGAACTTTCAAATGAGCACCCTGTATTTTATATTAGGAAATTTAAAAGATGAAGAGAAGCATGAAAAATTACGGTTTTCCTTTTTAGATTGTAAGTACAAGACAAATACATAACGTAATATATAAAATATTAGCACATAAGTTTTCCTATGTGTTTGACTTTTGTAGATACAAATGACGTAACAGAAGAAGAAATTAAAAAAGTGAAAGATATGATTGAATACTTGGATGAGTGTCTTACCATTTTACCAAACCCAAAAATTTCGAGCGACAATGCTGATACTTGCACTATATGTTATGCGCAACCTATAACAGTAACTTTTAAACCTTGCAATCATCAAACGTGTCGTATTTGTATCGAGAGACATCTCTTAAACAGCAGATCATGCTTTTTCTGTAAAATATCAATCGTAAAAGTCATAGATTCTTCTGATAATGTGATACACGAATTTAATGACTCGGATGAAAATATGACTTCGGATACCGTGTGAAATCGTATTAGTGCCATAACATAATCGTGAGAAAAATTATAAAAATAAATTTCTTGTAAAGACTACGATAAATTTTGAAAAAAAGTAAACAAATTGTATAAAATGTTGCGTAAAATTTTATTTATTTAATATTATTTTTATTACTCTGTTTTAAAAAGTTTATAAATGCAGTACAAAAATAAAAGATTATAAATTTTAGTCTTTATACAGATTTCCTATCATACTATAACAAACGAAATATTAAATTTGTATATGCATCAGTCTTTGTCAATTTCCTATTACAATTAAAAGAATGTATTATATATGTTATAATATGTTAAAATATTTATCTAAATCACAACAGCTGTAAATCACAGGATATAATGAGCGAGTTATTGTAAGGCCATTCATATTCTTTTGCTTATCGATAATTTACGGGAAATTTTCTTATGTTCTAAAAATTTCTTTTTTCATAACATTCAAATTAATATTAAGTACATAAATTTTCTTTCAATTGTTTAAAACCAGTTATTAATGAAGTTTTGTTAGACTTTATACTTAAATCTTCTATTGCTTCTACAAATACAACACCAGATATAAATGCACCAAGTGCAGTGATAAAAATTGCAAAAAAAACTAGTAGTCGATCTTTGTTTAAATGTAGTTCTGAATCTTTCAAAAGTGTACACTGGAATAGACATATGCCTGGAAAGATAAAAATGAAAGCTGCCGACAGTGCTCCCAGCAGATTAATAACTGGCGAAATATCTGGTACCAATACCGCAATTATTAAAGATAGTATGTACCAGATCAATGTAACAAAAACTCTAAATTTAATACAATTATTGTCCATTCCTAAAAGACTTAGAAAAGCATCACGACCACAATATAAAACAATCGGATATGTAGTAAAATTTTTTATGGCTATGAAGATAATGCCCAAAGCAAGGATTATGCTTTTCTCTGTATAGCCTTGAAGAATATCACTGGGCACTTTTCCAGCACCGAATGTCGCATATCCAAAAATACCAACTGCTGTATAAGCAGTAAAACAAATAATCATGCTTACTATGGCACATAATGTAAATTTTTCAAGTTTACGTTCTTTCATACAAGCGTACATTGGTATTGCTGTCATGTGACTCTGTAAATAGCAAAATCATTTATGAAAGAAGGCGAAGAATTAAAAACTAACAATATTGATGAAAACTAACAATATTGAAGTACCTGATACGCAAAACAAATTATTGGAATTATTTGAAGTGCCTCGTATTCATTATCTGGCCATATCTTCATGGAATTAATGGGTGGTTTAGTATTTGTAAAATATTTATAGACTATCAACATTATAACGTACAAAATAGTTACACAACCAATGGAACTGGCATAACTGAGAACATCCAATTTTTTAAAAAAACACAGAGGAAGTATAAATAAACTACACGTTACAGTTGTGACAAATGTTCTAGACATGTACCTGGAATAATAAAATTAATAGAATAACAATAATAATAATAGAAATATATTTTTCCAATGTATACTCTTATTTACCATGTATGACAATAATCAAGTCCATAGTATGTTGCTAGAACTCTATCAAACTGATCGCCAACAACTATCAAAAATGTTAAGCAACATCCAAAGCTATATATTATGATACAAAGGGCACATAGGAAAAGTGACTTTTGCCCATAAAAATTAGCAAACATATCTTGCATAGTAGAGCTATTTGCAACATCACTGCAATTGGCCAAAATTACAAGTGCAGCAGTAATAAAGATCAATGCTATAAACTGCACAGTAATAGAAGTGAACAATCCTCCAGCTTTATCAAATGCTTGAGGAAAATTTAATAGACCAGCTCCTAAAGTGGCATTCACAATTAAAAAGATTGTACTTAATACACTGGTTCCTGCAAATATCACAAATAAATCAGAATAAATTACGTAAAACATACATCACATTTTATTCAATTTATTATCAGACGTTTTTGAATAAATGACAACAAAAAATTGGAATTAAAAATTGAAAGAATGAATTATTGATATTTATTTGCAATTATATTCATTGGACAACATCAGACATGACTACAGAATAGTAAACAAAGTACCTGATCGAGTGTTTTGAGAATTGTGAACAGATGAAGGGCTTGGTGCAGTGCATAATAACATATCATTGCTAATAAGCTGTTCCGTGTCCCCCGTTAAACAATTCATGCTGATGATCACAGTCTAAACGATTACTTCTGACTAAAAATCTGTTCAGATTTATGGATCTAGGACAATGCATTTGTTCGAATAAAAAGAGAGTTTATCTATATTTATGATTTAAGATTTAGACCAAAGGTCATTGCAAAATAAAATTATGGAGAGTTCGTTATTTCAATTGGGACACTGTTATTCTAAGAAATATATTGTATGTAAATTGTAAATAAGTTCAGTTGCGTCACTAACTACAGACAAAATAGACCTTGTATTCAATATTTTATGCCCTTATAGAGGCTCGCTTATCTTTTTATCACATATGATATACGACGTTACCTATCTATATTCAGTAAAATAAAAATTCGCATTCAAATTAAATTCTCTAAAATTAAAATTTTTGAATGTGTAGCTTGCAAACAATTAGATATTACATATTTGAGGGAAAAAGAGTGCTTCGATCTGTTAACCAGAATATCTCTAATTCTTTATAATGAATTTCCTAGATGAAAAAAAACAACAGGCTGAGCAAAAAGAAACAAGCTAAGGATTTAATTCAGAAAGAAACAAAGGTTCGAAAATTAATCCTCTTAATTAGTTTTTTTTACAGATGGAAATTCAATGAACCCTAAAATAGCGTCGCATAACGCTGAAACGCTGGAACTAATCATTATTGTTGTCCTTGTCGCACCGCGTATTTTTAAAAACGAGTTTAACAGCGACGATATTGATTATAAATGAAGAAAGAAGAAAATAAAAAAGCAGAAAATGTATTGTATTCTTAGTTATTAAGAATCAACTAAAGCAAACAATCGTCATAATTAAAATAAATTATTATAGTTTCTTGTTAAATTTCGTAATATATTCATTTAAAGTAAATTTGAGCAAACCTCCATTCCGCCGGAAGATAGGTGTCGCTACACGCACACGTCTTATCCTGCCATCTTTCAACTCCAATTGAAACTAAAAAAATAAAATCGAAAAATCCGATAGATGACAGTACATGGCTTATTTTACTAAATAGAATTCTAGACAGATCCGATAGATGGCAATATTTGAACTATCATCAGTAGACAAGGAGCATGATAGAAGCAGAAGCAAATGCGGTGTTGTGGCAGTGAAGACAATAGAATGCAATAAATCACTATACGATGCTAGCATTTAGGATCTGTTACTGCACTAAACTTTTATTTATAAAAAAGAAACTAATTAAGAAAATTTATTTCCAAACTTTTGCAATAATTTCTTCTAAATTAGATATCTCTCTATATATAAAATGCATGTATAAAGGTTCAGAAATTCTGTTCAATAGATTTCAAATATATAATGTTGAATTTCGTGCAAACTGCATTAAAAATTTGGATCAAAACTATTCGTGAATATAATATGATTCTACGTTCAATTGTATAT